TGATTTATTTTATTGTTTGGTTTTGCTTGTCTTAACCTTTTGTTTTTGGAACATAAGGATCAAAGCAAGCGGCATCATCAGTTGGATTTGAATACCTTGAAAGGCCATGGTGATGTAGTTACAGGGCTAAGCTTCTCTCCCGATGGACGCAACTTAGCAACAGGTATTTAAACATATATTTGTTCATAAAAAGGCATTTGTTTGTTCATAAAAAGGCATTTATAATTCATGTCTGTAATACTACTTCATGATTTCATCAGCCGAAGCTATATGTAGTGATGTTTATAGTTACTACTATTATGATTTCATCAACCTTCGTGAAAATGACCATATATGGCTTCCCCATATATGGCCCTCACTAGTTTACTTCAGTCTCGGTGTAAGAGTTGTGTCTGATGTTGTTTCTGTCGTGTTTCATAGTTAATAGGCATGTGGTCATGCAAGAATGATTTGCTAGCACAAACGTCCCCCCCTTAATTTCACCTCTTACAGTATTACCAAACTGTCTCTCCTGCCCCCTTTCTATTGGTTTCTTCATTTGTATTACAGAGAATAAAAAGTCTCTCCCTCTCTTGCCCACTTTGATTAATTTCATTGCGAAGTAGACATGTTCTATTTTTTAGTTTAGCAGCATAAGCTTTGCTCTCTGTTCATAAAGCAGATTCACCGTGAACTGGAACATGTATCCAATCCAAGATTGGAATTCAGAGGGGGTTGCTGAATTTGCTAACGTTGTTTATGACACAACATAGCTATTCAATGTCTCTTCATAAAAGAAATTATACATAAAACATCACGGGCTTTGCAGCCACGAAAATAGTTTTTCCACAAACATGTTCAAGTGAGGCAGATATACTATTAAAGTTGAGGGAAATGGGAAAAAATAAAACCACTAAAGGATGGCCAAATGAAACAAGCTGTAAACATAAAATCGGCCAACATTTATTTTTATGCCTGATTTTCACCAAGTAGTTACATTTGTTGATTTGTATTTTTCATCTATCATTCTTGCTTCCTGAAGTCCGATTAGGCTTCTATGAGTATTATGACATAGTACTCCTAGTTGTTCAAATTGTCTTGTTTTTAATTTTAACTTGTATGGCCATTTGAACCTTTTTTATGGAACGTTTCTCTTACAATCTTACTCTATATAATCTGTGCAAACAGCTTGTGCTGATGGAATGGTGAGAGTATTCAAGTTGGAGGATGCTTCGAGTAAAAGTTTCAAGTATGTGAATTTCGACGGCCTCTTGTAATGTCAATCATATTCTATTTGCTTAACTTTTATTTTCTCAACTCTTGCAGGTTCCATAGAATTAATTTACCTCCTGGAGGTCATCCAACTGCAGTTGCGTTTTCTGATGATGCATCCTCCATTGTTGTGTCATCACACAGTCTCACTGGCTGTTCATTGTACATGTATGGTGAAGAGAAACCTAAAGCTTCTGAAGATAAGTCACAAACAAAGCTTCCTCTCCCGGAGATTAAGTGGGAACACCACAAAGTTCATGATAAAAAAGCAATAATTACTATGTTTGGAGCCTCCGCCACTTATGGCAGTGCTGATGGAAGTGCATTGATTGCCTCGTGTTCAGAAGGTATCTTGATGTTATCATACTGCAGTAGAAAATAGATGAAAATGTTTGTTGTCATCTATAAAATTATTAACTAAATTTGGTTGTTGTGTGAGGTTTGTGCTTCTCTCTAAATAAATGCTATGTTCTTTTTACTCTCATTGGGAATTGCTTATGAAATTGTTATCACTATTGTTACACACCGCAACATTATGCTCAACAACGACTTTCTACAATCTCTATCCTAACATTTGATTTCAAATTCAGGGACTGACATAATTCTTTGGCATGGAAAAACTGGGAAGAGTTTGGGGCATGTGGATACAAATCAACTTAAAAATAACATGGCTACTATATCTCCCAATGGGCGCTTCATTGCAGCTGCAGCATTTACTGCAGATGTTAAGGTGAATTTCTATTTAATTCATTTGTATATGCTGTTCTTGGATGTATACACACATAATTCACACACATAACTAGTTGCATACACATATAGTATGAAATAGGATACAGCCTTCAACTCAGCAATGAGACTGTGTCCATTAGGTTTTATTCCATTTGGTGTTAGCCTTGAAAATTCGCCTGTGCATTTATTTATTACTATTCAAATGAAAGATTGAAGAAAATAAGCATCACGGAAAGGACGTTAACTGGCTCAGATATTATGCTGATGCTTTTGAATATCCAATCACAGAATCACCTCCCCTGTCTAATTATCCTTTTGTGTTTCTCTATCACCCTCTACGCATATGTGACCCTTTTTACTTTAGTTTTATGAATGGTTAGTATGCAACTTGGGGCCCAATCAATTTTCTTTTGTGGCCAGTGATAAAAACGAATTGAAACTCAAGATGTTGGTTTTTATCTTTTCAAGTAGAAAAACAAGTAAAAAAGGCTGGGCATAAGAAGGACGTTTCCTAGAAAGTAAAATAGAGAGAAAAAGGGTAAAGCAAGATCTTTGTAATTTTCCAAGGATGGTAAGAAGCCTCAAAGATTCCATATTGGCATCAAGAGTTACAGTGTTAATAACTGCTTCTGGCCTCACCTTTTCCCTGCAATGGTATTCGCTCTTGGGTTCAAACCATTGCCGTTACTATTTCTCTCCGTGCTGTTCAAACAAACACATGAAACAATTTCCTCCAATCGGATCCACACTGAGGTACCCTCAAGGCCGCCACCAATACCTTTTTACATTTGAATTGAATTAACTCAAAGATCCTGTTTTCTACTCTAAAAAACAGTGTCCCCTGCAACGATCTTCCTGTGATAGACGAAGTACTTCCTAGTACTTCCTAGTGGCTAGTAGTCAATAAATGGTGCCTTGTCATGCCCTTATAAGTGTGCCTGAATTTATGATCTTACTATCCCCTCCCGAGTCCGATCTTATGCAAGATCCCTAAATTGACAACCTTGATAGTAATAATAATAAAGGGACTCAGAGGCAAGGAATTTTTATAGGGACCGAAACTGAATTAGGAGTATAATATAGGCACTTATAAGTTTTTATGCTAGAAATCTTAGATTCTGTTTTGAAGTAATGCAAAAGGTTGTGGTACTAATGATCCCTTCCCTACTATTTGGTTGCAATCTATTTATGCCACCAAAAAGTTGTTCATTGTTATTTATGCTTATATTTATGTTCCTTAGTATTGCTTGCTTACAATGTCTTGCAGGTCTGGGAGATTGTATATGCAAAGGATGGATCTGTTAAGGAAGTTTCAAATGTTATGCAACTTAAGGGGCACAAGGTTTAAAATTTAGTTCTACCATTTTTTCGGTTATTTAGAATTCTTATGAAGCCTGGTTTTGACTTGATGAATAGATTTTGCAAGTCGAAAAAATTAAATATATTTTCTGTCTAATGCATTATATTCTCCAAGTTCTAAATCAACTGTACTAGTATTCAGTTGTATGATAAAATGCTATATTCCCTGAGGTAGAAAGAAGAAATAACAGTGACATTGTTTAACTTGCTCAAGAAAATGAAATAATATATTTTTTCGTAAATGCACTCCTTTCTTCACAAGGTCTTCATTGTAATCTATTATTTATTTGATATGATCAATGATTTTATTACTTCCCTTTATTCAGAGTGCAGTGACTTGGTTATGCTTTTCTCCAAACTCTCAGCAAATAATTACAGCATCCAAGGACGGTTCCTTAAGAATATGGAATATCAACGGTAAGCAAAATTTGATTTTTTTTTCACTTGTCAAATCGGTTTTATTTCTGAGGGGTTGGGTTGTTAATTATATCATTTGGTTTCATTGTATTTGTCCTTGTATCTTGAAGTTCGCTATCATATGGATGAGGATCCCAAGACACTTAAGGTGTTCCCAATTCCTCTCCGTGATTCTACTGGTACTACATTGCACTATGATCGCCTGAGTATTTCACCTGATGGTAAATTTTTGGCTGCAACCCATGGTTCTACATTGCAGTGGTTAAGTGTTGAGACCGGAAAGGTTTTGGATACCGCTGAAAAAGCTCATGATGGTATGTATGCCCAAGAATTGAATCTTTTATGTTTCTTACAATTTTTATTAAAAAAAAAAATCAAATACTTAACCATTTATGATCCTCCAATCATTGATTATTTTCTTCACTTGCAGGTGACATTACAGATATTTCATGGGGGCCTAAAACTATTCCAATGGGTACAGCTTCTAATCCTTCTCTACTCTTTTTGATTTTCCATGTAGTTTATTGATATTAAACACTCTGCTTCATTCTTCAGGAAAAGAAAAAGTCTTGGTTTTAGCCACAGCCAGTGTTGACAAGAAAGTGAAGTTGTGGGCAGCTCCATCAGCTCCATCATGAACTAGTATATACTAGTGCATCATATGATAGTGCTGACAACTAATATATGCCTAAAGGCATGATATCTTGGAAAAAAAGATGAATGAGAAACTAGATGAGGTGAAAAAGGGACTAGTCCCTGTGTTGCTGCTTTGACTTCGGTCTTTCGAATATTTTGCGACTAATGGTCTGTACAGACATAGATGATTTTGTTGATTTTGATTTTGATTTTGCTAGTCGGAATTGATGAAGAGGTAACGCGAGAATAGTAAATTGTTAGTAACCTTGGAAGAGGAATTATAAGACATGTTGGTAGTTATTATACTTTAAAAATCTTTCTCATATTTACTGCACCATGTGAGGGTTACTCCTTTCAATTTTCTTAGTCATGGAATGAAAATGGTGGTTGTGTTGGGAAATAACTGGAAATTATGATTTGAACTTCAAATACTTATTTTGAATGAAATTCACTGCTTTAGTATTTGTGACATCACTTTCACTTTGCCAGAGTGTATGTTAATTTAAAATATTTATAATGGTTAATATCTATTTTCCACGTTTTTCATTAAAACTAAAAAATGTCGCGTTTATAATATGGAAATTAAATTCTCTAATTACATTTCTCCCATGTCTTGCGATTTGATTTCTTTCTCCTTCGTTCAAAACATCAAATATCAAATTTCACCATTGTTGCATCTTCAAGCTTTATCTTGCCATTTTTATTCCTCTCTTCAAACTCAAGCGTTGGACACTAGAATGGAAGAATCACTTCAAGCCTTTGATGAAGTTGTTAGTTTCAAAGTTTAGTACAAATTCAAGAAAAAAATATTGAAAGTAGAAGTTTTTGGGGGTTAGTTCTTTAATGGGTTCCATTATTTTTATTTCCATTTTGTACTTTTGATCAATTCTTAATATTAAACTTTTTGAGAAATTTTATCTCAACGGGTAGTAAGTTACAACCAAAATAAGTAGATTTAATACACGGAGTAGTAAAGATTACTAATCTTGTTTCCATAAAAAGATATCAGTGCGTCATTTATCTTTATAATTCAATTTTTCAATCTTGTTTGCCTTGTCATAAAGAGAAAAAAATGCGCCCACCGTGGGGCTTCAATCTTGTTTGCCTTGTCATAAAGAGAAAAAAATGCGCCCACCGTGGGGCTCGAACCCACGACCACAAGGTTAAGAGCCTTGCGCTCTACCAACTGAGCTAGACGGGCAAGTTGTAAATGAATCAACTCTTTAATATTTCTAACGTAATATTTCCTTGGTTTCATTCTAACAATGTATCTTCTCCACTTCAAAACTTTCTGTCTCTCTGATTGATTCAACTTCACAATCACAAACCTCTCATACTTTTCAATCAAATCGGTAACTTTCCCTCTTTGTTTTACTGGGTTTTCCCCTTCTTCTATCCAGATCTAATAAAGCGTATAACTTTTTTTTTTTTACAAGAGGATTTTGGTAGTTGTTTCTTTTTGAGCTCTTTGGAGGTATCACTTTCCACTTGACAACAACCTCTAGATCTGCTGATTTGGATTCCGATTTTGAGAATGGATCTTTAGAGGCATTGCTTTACTACCCAGTCAATGCTACAAGATAGGACTTCCCAGAGCCAATAAAGCCTTGGATACCATGGAAAGAAACAGAGTCTGGGCTGATGGAATAACATATTCTGAGCTCATTAAGCTGTTAACGAGGGTAAGCATGTTCATCACCATATATTCTCAAATGGGTATTAGCCAAAAAAACGTTCTTGGCCAACACTCTTCTTAATATGTATGTCAAATTCAACCTTTTGGAAGAAGCACATATAATGTTTGATAAAATGTCTGATAGAAATGATACCATGTATACCTTTTCATTTGTTTTTGAGAAGTTGTGAGAGGTTATGTGATACTAAAAGTAGGATTCGAGTCTGATGTGTTTGTAACTTGTTGTTCTGTTTGTTATTCACTTAAAGCCGCTGCTGGTCATACCCATCTCAGTGGTGAAGATTTTGATAACAAAATGGTTAACCATTTTGTTCAAGAGTTTAAAAGGAAGAATAAGAGGGATATTAGTGGGTGTCTTGATCCAAGCATTCGAGGGTGAAAGATCTAAAACCAAAGACAATAACTTGTTAGGTATTTGAAGTGTGATTTAAGTTTTTAATTATCTTACTTGTGCGCTATGCTTATGAATTTATAGTATTTCAAGCGATTTAAATCACAAGTGATTTAAGACACCCCTTGTGATTTAAGGTTTTATACCTCTTTTATGGAGTGTCTTTATTTCCTACATAATTGCTAGGTTGGACTTTTATGTGTAAATCACCTTATAAATTGCTCCTTAGAGTATCTCTAATGGGAGGATTTTTCTTGGTTTTTCCATCTGGCAGAGTATTAAATTTTGTTGCCGTTGGAGACATGTGACCTGTTCAACCGTTCCTATACAATGCAACAGTAGTTTCTATTAAAATACTAATATAATTTAAATTTTGATTGTAACGTCTCTTTCTATTTTTTTTCTCTTTTTTTTATAAACATTTTTAGTTAGCTATAAATACATCCTATTTGAAAAATTTTACACAAATTTTCTTTCACACTTTTATTTTCTCTTAAGTTTTCAATTTTTCTCTCAAAATTTCATCACTTTACTCTAAATTTTGAAAATTTTCTCTTACAATTTATTCTCATTAGCCTTCATTTAACAATATATTTTACCCAAATTTTTACCTTTTTACTTCAAAATTAATATTGTTTAGGCCAAATGGATCCTAATCAATTTAATTATCAACAATCTATGTTCAATTTCATGCAAAATTTTCAAAATCCTAATCCTCAAAATTCTCAATTCCCATCGATGCCAACAAACTCCTCCGCTTTTTTCCCGTCATCAACCGGAAACACTCCGCCGCATTTTTTCCGTCACCAAACTCCACCATATGGTCAACCATCTATGGAATTTTTTCGTCATGAACCGGAAACACCGATTGTGTCTATGTCCGAAAGTCAAGTTCCACCATTTTCAACTCAATTCGGTATTGAAAAAGAAGAAAGTCGCCCTGTTAAAAAAAAAGCTCGAGAGGTATTTTCAAGGGATGAAGATATACTTCTTATCCAATCATGGCTCAATGTTTCAAAGGATTCAATTGTAGGAGTTGATCAAAAAGTTGAGAGTTTTTGGTTAAGAATCACTACCAATTATAACGAGTATCGTGGACAATCGCGGGAAAAGCTACATGGGCAATTAAAATCTCGATGGCATCGAATAAATGGCTTGGTTCAAAAATTTGTTGGGTGTTACAAACAAGCTGTTAATGGAAAGAAAAGCGGGACTTCGGAGAAAGATATCTTGGCTGCTGCATATGCATTTTTTGCTCAAGATGAAGGTACACCATTCAATCTTGAGTATGCATGGCGATTGTTAAAGGATGAACCTAAATGGATGGGAGCATCGACTGAAAATTCTTCAAAAAGAACAAAGAATTCTGCTAGTGGGGCACATTCACCATCGTCTAACCTCGCGACACCTTCAAGTTATGAGTTTAACTCATCATCACCAATGGAGCGTCCAATGGGACAACAAGCAGCAAAAAGAAAGAGTAAGGCAAAGGAAAATGCATTTGAATCACCTTCTAATATTGTGCAAGAAACATGGAATAAAAGAGTAGCGACAATGGAAAGACTAGCTCAATGTAAGGAGGACGAGATGGAGTATAAGGCAATACAATTACTCTCGAAAGACACTTCTATGATGAATGATAGTCAACGAGATATTCATGAAAAATATTGTAATAAGTTGGAAAAAAATATGGATTTTAGTTATGATGAAAAGATGTAGTACTTATTATGTATCAACACCTATGTAAAATGGTCATTAGTACCAATTTAATTTATAATAAATATTATGTTGTTATTCAAACTAGCCGTTATTCAAACTAGCCGTTATTTAAACTAGTCGTTATTCAAACTAGCCGTTATTCATATATCACTATATAAATGACCAGTCTTCTCATTATTTTCTCATTCTTCTCTCAATCTTCTCTCATTCTTCTCTCTTTTTTCTCTCATTCTTCTTTCATTTTTCACTCACTTTAATGGATTCAGACAGTTCATATGATCTCTTTTGGGACTTGATTGAAGAAGAATTTATGGACAACACTGATGAAGAACTACTAAAGTCAATGCTCGAGAAGGAACATCAATCTGGAAGTTCCTCTAGGCCAAAGAGAAGAACAGTGATAAATCGAAATCGTGAAGAAGGGCACAATCGTTTATTCAATGACTACTTCTCGGAAAATCCAGTATACACAGATGTTCAATTCCGAAGAAGGTTTAGAATGCATAGGCATGTGTTTCTTTGAATTGTAGCCGCCTTTGAAAATCATGATGAATATTTCCGAATGGGGGTCGATGCAACTGGTAAAATGGGTCTTTCACCATTGCAGAAATGTACATCTGCTATTCGTATGTTGGTATATGGGTCTCCTGCTGACAGTGTGGACGAATATGTTCGAATCGGTGAAAGCACTTCAGTTGAGTGCTTAGAAAGATTCGTCCGGGGCGTGAATGTTGTATTTGGGGCAGAGTATTTGAGAAAGCCTAACAACACAAATGTTGCACATCTCTTACAAATGGGAGAGTCACGTGGCTTTCCAGGTATGTTGGGTTCCATTGATTGTATGCACTGGGAATGAAAAAATTGTCCTGTTGCATGGAAAGGACAATTTTGCCGAGGCGATCATGGTAAGCCCACAATCATGCTTGAAGCAGTGGCATCACAAGACTTATGGATTTGACATGCATTTTTTGGTATTGCTGGTTCAAACAATGACATTAATGTGCTTAACCAATCCAATGTGTTTAACTATATTTTGGAAGGACATGCTCCCACTATGAACTATACAATTAATGGAACATCATATAATATGGGGTATTATTTAGCGGATGGTATATATCCTGAGTGGGCTACATTTGTCAAGACTATTTCAATGCTGCAGGGAGAAAAGAGAAAACTATTTGCTCAACATCAAGAATCAGCTAGAAAGGATGTGGGGCGGGCATTTGGAGTGCTCCAATCTCGATTTACAATTATACGTGCCCAGCACATGCCTGACATATGGAAACCCTCAAGCATACCATATATGCTTGCATCATATTGCACAACATGATCGTTGAAGACGAACGCCACACATATGAAGGTGATTTTGATTACTCTTATGATAATGTAGATGACACCTACTCAACAACTGAAACATTTAACGGTCCTCATCCGAATCTTGCAACAAGACTACAAAGAAGAGCAAGTCTTCGTAAAAAACAAGTTCATCGCCAACTTCAAGGAGATCTAGTCGAGCATATTTGGGAACGTTTTGGACATGAGAATGATGAAAATTAAATTTGAGTAATTCTGTTATGTTATTTATTTTTAATGTTTTTAATTATATGTCATGTATTTGAGATTAATTTTAATTATCATTTTAAATTTTATGTTTAATTTTAATTTGATTTATTTTATATTAATTTAAATATAAATAATTATTTTAAATCAAATAAAATTTAATATGAATAAAATATTAATATATAAAGTAAAGATGTGGGACCTAATTTGAGTTCTTTAGAGTTGCACAATTGGAGTGAAAATTGAATGAGTTGCTTCAAGATGATGTGGCTTAATGGGTCCCACAAAAACCAAAAATTAGGTTGCACCATTGGAGGTACTCTTAGACTCTATGGAGAAGTTCACTATGGAGTTCCGTTTCACTTTAAGGGATAACGCCTTTCAATTGCTTCACATGGTGCTTGAGGTTAACTTGTCAGTTGTTACTGTTAACCATTTACTATGATAAATTCCTTATGTTGTTTTTGATGTGCAGCATAATGTCTAGTTAGATGATGCTTTTGATCGACTTATGGTTGCAATGTTGGATAGAGTTGAGCAATTTACTGAGCCTACACCAAGTTCACTATAAAATCTAACTCTGCAACAATCACTTACTTCATAATTATTATTTCAACAATCATTTTAGTCATCGATAAATATCATTCAAGTCATCTATGACCACCACATCTGTGCCCATCATTAATTATTATTTTAGTTATTTTCGAATAACCACCACTATGACCCATGTCCAACCATTGCAGCCATTTGCAACCGTCAACCATCACTAACTACTATTCTTACCTCGATTTCAATCACCACCAAACACCACTGCTGCCACCTTCGACTACCTCACTCGTCTATTGTGTCCATATTTACACCAATTATTAGTTGTTGCGATAACTTTTTTCATGACCACCACTAAACATTACTTTGACCACCACCAACTACTACTCGAACCATCACTATAGTCACAATTGAACACTACTTCGACTAGTAAAGGAGGGGAAGATGGTTAGTGATAAGGGAATTTCACATTCTCTTCCAATGTTTGACGTCAAGAATTGGATCCGATGGGAAAAATAGATGCAATCCTTGTTTGGCTTCCATGAAACCCTAGAAGTGGTTACGAACGGTGTTCCTGTGTTGGCTGCAAATGCAACCGACGAACAGAAAAAAGCCCACAACGAAGTCAAGAAAAAAGATTGCAAGACTGCTTATTGCATTCAGACGGCGATCAATGCTGCTAATTTCGATAGAATCTCTCATGCTGAAACGACGAAGGAGGCATGAGATATTCTGGTGAAGTATTACGAATGAGGTGAGAAAGTCAAGGTTGTCAAGTTACAAACCTTGCGTTGATAATATAAGGTGTTGTCGATGAGAGAAGATGAAAAAGTTGCAGAATATGTGTCGAAGGTTCAAAAACTCGTCCATCTCATGAAGGGTTGTGGTGAAACCATAACTGATAAGATGATAATTCAGAAGATAATGAGAATGTTGACCTCTCACTTTGATCACGTTATCGTAGCTATTCAAGAATCCAACAATCTTGAAACCAGTAAAGTGGAAGATTTGGTTGGTTCGTTGGATGCGCATGAGATGAGGATTGTCGAAAGGAAAGCAGTGCAAGACTCAATACAGGCTCTGTAAGCTCAGTCATGGAAAAAGGACGGTGGTTCCAACAAATTCAAAGGCAAGTTCGGTAAGACTCAGGGAAAAAAGTATTGGTTGAAACTTCACAAATATCAGGTCGAAGATGGAGCTTCTGAATCCTTGAAAGGAGGATAAGGAAACTATCGAAAGGGAAAAGAAGATAAAAAAGGTGTGCAATGCTATAATTGTGAAAAATGGGGTCACATAGTCAAGAATTGTTGGTACAGAAAAGACAAGGGATCGACAAGCAAGGACGAAGGAGCGAACCTTGCACGCATAGATTCAGATGATTCTGAAGGTGGTATGGTGGTTATGGTTGCAGTTGCAGATAACCATGTCGAATCCAAAATTTGGTTTCTCGACTCAGACTGCTTGAATCACATGACTAATCGAAAGGAGTGGTTGGCAGATTTTGACGAGTCGAAGGAGAGCAAGGTAAAACTTGCTCATAATAGTTCGTTGCAAGCAGAAGGTATTGGAAATATAGTCTTTCAAATGAGTAATGAAGGGAAATCTATGATCAAAGATGTGCTTTATGTACTTGGAATAAAGTGCAACTTGCTAAGTGTTGGACAACTAGTTGAAAAAAGTTTCTCAGTTGTCATGAAAGATGAAGTTTTGAAATTGTTCGACACCAAGAACAATTTGGTCTTAAAATCTCCGTTGTCGAGGAACAAGACATTTAAGACTATGATCAGTTCGACTGAAGTTCAATGTGTGAAAACTATTGTTGACCACAAGGATAATTGGTTGTGGCATTTGAGGTTTGGACATTTGAATTTTTGATCACTCAATCAACTGATTGCTCAAGATATGGTTACTGGAATTCCAAGTCTTGAGATGCCTGAAAAACTTTGTGAAGGTTGTTTAGTAGGAAAGCAATCTAGAAATTCTTTCGTTTCGACTATGCCAATGAGATCATCTTGCATACTCGAAGTGGTACATTCATATGTATGTGGTCCATTCGAAGAACATAAAATTGGTGGGAAAATATATTTTGTTTCATTTGTCGATGAGTTTAGTCAAAAGTTGTGGATCTATGTGATCAAACGAAAGGATGAAGTATTCAAAATCTTTAAGAGATTCAAGATACTTGTCGAAAACCAGAGTGAGAAGAAGATCAAAGTTTTGCGAACAAATGGAGGTGGCGAATACACATCCAAGATGTTTGAAGATTTATGTGCAGAACATGGTGTTGATCATGAGGTAACTTCTCCTTATACACCTCAACATAATGGAATTGCTGAAGGAATAAACAAAACTATATTAGATATGGCGAGATGCATGCTGAAGCAAAAGAATTTACCAAAGTCTTTATGGGGAGAAGCTGTTTCGACTGCAGTTTATATTTTGAATAGGTGTCCTACTAAGATATTGAAGAACAAGGTTCTTGAAGAAGTGTGAAGTGGAAGCGACCATCAGTAAGTCATTTGAGGGTGTTTGGCTCTATGTCTTATAATCATATTTCTGATGCGAGAAGAAGAAAGCTGGATGACAAAAGTGAACTTATGATTCTGGTAGGATATCATAAAACTGGTGCATACAAGCTATTCAATCCAATTAATGAGAAAATTGTGTTGAGTAGAGATACTGTGATTGATGACAATTATGTTTGGGATTGGAATTCTAGCAATTCAATTAACAAGTCATTGATGAGTTCTGATTTCGATGAAGAAACTAATGAAGTAGAGGTCAAAGGAATTGTTGAGAATCCAGTCGAAGTCGAAGAAGAAGCAATTGCTGACATTCCCGACAGAATCGAAGTCGAAGAGGCTGTGGCTGAAACAAGCCAAAGACCTCAAAAA